TATAACACTATTATCATACTTTGAAATCGCTTATTGATATAAATAATTCCTTTATAACAAAAAATTGCACATAATACTTAAAATTATAAATGGTTCTACTTCTTATTTAAATTATAATCATTTCATGAGAATAGTTTTTTTGTTTCACTTAACATTGGTATCATTGTTTTTTTAAATTATATTTTACTAGTATATTTAGAAAGATCTAAAAATACTTATATAAACTAATGATATAGATATTAAAAATTTATTATATGAGACCTTCATCATTATAGAAATTGAATGTATTCTGAATAGAACAAGAATATTAACTAAATAAGATTATATCATTATGGTGAAGTACCCTTCATCTGTGTTAATGAAGTTGTTAAGAGAGTCCAGTTATATCATCTTACTAAACTTCTGATTCCTATTTAATAAATCAGAGATCGAAGATAGTTATTAGCTGTTTTTTCGGTTATTTCATTTTTTGAAGCCCCTTTATTAGTTATTCATGGACCACTACTTTGGAGGTAAGCATCTATTTATAAGCTGGAGCAAATTATACGAAATTAGAAATAATTCAACTAATCCTAAAACATATAAGTTCTATATCTAGATATAAATATCGAAATAAACAATTAATCATACAAAAAAATTAGTTTTAGTATAATTTATTTTTGAGAAGTATGTATTAAGGTTTAACAATATTGTTAGCCTAAAACAAATTTATTTCAAACTAGATTTATTCTCTTCTTATTTATAAATTCAATTTAATTTGATGTATTTTTTACTCTTGGAACTGAAAACATTAATTCAATTTAATAAAAATATATCTAGAAGATGAAATTATTCTTCAATATTCTTATAAAGCAAAAATTGATTAAAGGGTGCACAAAAATCACTAGATAGTTGATAAATTTATAAACAAACATAATAAGTTTGTTCTTATTTTTAGTTAAATTATCTTACATAAAAATGAATTTTATAATGAATAGTTGGTCAAAATTAGAATAAATAAAAAAAATTCATTGAAGTAAATGAGAAATTGCTCTTTCTGTTCTTGCTCTTTCTAAAGTCTATATTGATCTCAGAAAACTTCTTTTCTATTTAGACTAATTAATTTTTTTAGAATTGGACTAAGGTGTTCAAGCTATCTACGATAACCCTATTATTATCCATCAGATTCATATTAAAACTGTTACTAAAAGTTAATTCTTTTGATCTCATCTTAAAAAAACTATCTATTTTATTAAATATATTATGAAAATTCTGATAGTTCCATAAATTTGTTTAGCAACACAATTCATTTAATCAACTATTTTGAATTTTCCATTATCCATTCTCTAATGATATAGATATGGGTTTTATGCTTTACTACAATTAAATTCCTCTCCTTATTGTAAATTATCGGAAAACCATATTCATTATATATCTTTTTCCTTCTTTAAATTCAAATACATAGAGTTTATCAATTTTTTCATACTAGCTATCCAATTAAATTAATTCTCTTTAATATTAATCTTAAGTCCTTCTTCTTAAATTGACTGTGTATAGATGAAGTGACTGATAACTTATAATAGAATTAATATATAAAAATACCTTTATTTGTGTAATAAATTTCATCCATTCTAACAAAATTTTTGAATTCAAATTTATCCCATTCTCTTCTCTCCAAAATTATGATTTCATACTTATTATATGCACATGATACTAATTATGTTTCAGATTAATTTAAACTTAAAGGCATAACATAAATATCATATTAATCCAATGAATGCTTGTATGCCGATATATTTTTATTAAAACCAACCTACCATACTTTAATTGATTTATCATCATTTCCAGAAATAGTATATCTTATTTGAACTTAATATAATACATCTTACATTATTTGTATGTTAATAATAAGGTTATGAACTAATCCATACAGCTTAATCCATTTATTTCCAGCATCTAATTTTATGGTCTAATGCTCTTGAAATAATTAATATAAAATAAACATTAAAACAAAACAGTATGTCCTTACAAGTTTTTATCAATTTCATTGTTCTATTTAGAAAGCTCCATACTTTAATATCATTTTTCTTAAGACTTTGACTAAATTCTTTATCCTGATTAAAATAGAAGCAGATACAAAATAAAATGGAGAGGTTGAAAGATTGAAGATCATTATATTTGATTTCTTCCTATTTTTGACAGCTTGTGCATACTAAATACAAGATGATTTCAAAATCAATTTAATCTTGAAAATTTTAATTTGAATATAAATCGTTTTGAGCTAATTTGCAAATATATATATAATTGAAAATCCAAGGCTTTTTTGAAATTAAAAAATTGATTTCGTGCTATTTACGTGCAATCTGTACAATATGAATTCTATTAGAAATAGTTTGGAATGAGAAAATATGAATATCAATAATATATTAATCTTAGCAATTTAATTACATTTATCTAAGCCTAACATGAGATGCAAAACTAAACAAAGATTAATATTATATGAATAATTTAATAATAAACTTATTTATTATAAAATAATACACAAATACAGTTTTTAATAACAATACTACTAAAATAATATATTTTCTCTTTTTATTTCATCTCTAAATATATTCCATGTTAATAAAATAAATGTAAATTTACTAAAAATTAAATTAAAAAATTGAAATATATTCATAGGTTTTTAAAGTTAAAGTTCGATCAGCAACAGCAATAAAACTTAAAATTATGTACTATTTTTTTGTGAAATAAGTAGAAAATCTACAATTATTAATCAATCAAACCAATATTTAACTTTTTGAAGTCATATTTAAGAATCCTAATAAAAATTTATACATTATAGTTTATGAAATTCTACATTTCAACTTTTAGAATTAATCCTAGTTAGTAGTATCTAGTCAATAAATTGAACTAAAAATAACATATTTTAAATCTAAATAAGAATAATCTGCTTTATAACACCTTTGAATTGTGTGTATTAGCTTATACTAAACTATTTTCATGCAAAAATAAATAAAACTTATTTCCTCCTACAGCATACTTTATAACAAGTTTATGGATAACAGCCAAAACGTATAAAAAGAGTTTTATAAGGTGGAAAAGATCTGGTAAGAAAAATTACCATTTAGTGAAATTAAACGTTTTGCTATTTATAGGGTTGCACTTCTGCATTCATTATAGAGGAATCCAAGTAATTAAGAGTGGTATCTCCAAGTTTATAGGAGGTTTATACATAATTTCAATTAGATTATCTAGTGTATGAATTACATGATTGAGTGATGCAAGAATTCATAACACCATTCGATTTTGATTGATATCTTTTTCTCTATATCCTGCAAACTTCAAAATCAGTAATCTATTTGAAATTTTTAATAGTTTAATTATCTTCCTAACACAATAGCCAACCACAGCTTTATTATAATGATTATTGTATACAGCTCCAACTAATAGTTGGCTGCATTCTTCTACTACATAACATTTACCAAGGTTTCCTGGGATTTTATAGGCAAAAAATTTTTTAAATTGACTGAAGCTGTTAGGCAATTAAAGGAGATGTGGCAGTTGTGATATTTGCACATCCAAAAGTTGTACTAGTAGATGATTTTACAAATTTGGGCAAACTTTCAATATAGATACAATTAGGATTTGCACATGAATATTAAGACTTTATTAAGGAATAGTCTTAAACAACACAAGTAGAGGTAGTTCAATTGTATAAACACTAAGGAGAAACCAATAAAAATTCTTATTAGGAGAATTCATTGCATGAGCATGGAGATTTGTAAGTTTGATTCAGACCCTCTGAACTGCATGTTGCACAAAAACCAGAAACAAAATTATGGAAGTTCATCTTGACAATCCTTAAGGTATTTGAATAGCAGATAGTTGAAGCAAGATTTTTGGTATTTTTAGCAGCTGTACAATTACCAGTTGTTTACCATAACATAAAGTAACATCAGTTGTTGTAAGTAAGTCAAATATAGGTACATGATTGTTGATTAAGAAAATTGGAGAAGCTTGCAACTACACAAGAAGCAGATGTTGTTGTTCTAGTTGGTTGTCACAAAAATCAAGAATGATTAAATTTTGACATAGCTATTAAGTTGCAATATCTAAATAAATAGAAATGTAGTATATTTACAAAAATTATTGGTTTGAATATTATTTTTATTAATTAATAATTCATTTAAAAAACTAACCAAATTTGCAATATCAAAATTAACATAAGTGTTTTCACATTAGGATGCAGTTGTTGTTCCTCCTCCAATTCTTAGTGAAGATGTAACTGAAAATTGATTTGGTGTTGTCAAATATACTTTTATAAAACTTTTAAAATTTTATAGATATTACTGCACAATAAATTGAATAATTAGCACATTCTCCAGGATTGACACCATAAAGATTTCAAGATGAAAATATCGAAAATAAATTTTAGCTTACTGACCAAGAGCTAGTACTGCGAATTCTTTATTAAATTATTTAATCGCAAGGTTTATTATAGAAACTTGGAGTTGTTATCGCAAAGGACCAAAATATTATGGATTTGCGAAACCATCATACTAATTAATTAACTAGTTTCAAGCACAGTATTCAGGTATAATTACGATAATCATTAAACATTTAGTATAGGTTATAAATTTAGCTAATAAATATTAAATAAAAATTGTAAACTTTCTTTACAACAACTGAATTTTTATTCAATTTTTGAATAAAAATTATTATATATTAACATTACAATAATCATTATTTCTAATTGTGAACTATTTTGATTTAGTGTTGGAACCCATCTATAATTGAATCCTGTATTGGTTGAACAATTAAGTGAATTAGTTTTGAAGATTTGACTAAATTAATACAAGAGGGAAGTTTAGGTATTTTTTGACCATTGACATTATTAAATTTCTTCAATATTAAACAATAGCATTACAAATTTGCTTGGTGTAGGAGTTGTAAAATGAGCGTAGGTAAGTTATTAAGATTAGTCATTTGCATAATAGCAATAATCACAATAATAACTGGAAGTTTACTAAATTATTTTTAACTATATGTTGTTACTGCAATATATGATTCAGTAAAATATGGATTTCACTACAAATACCATCAGATCCGTAAGTAACACAACAAGTAGTTTGTGACATTGATCAACAAGTAATAGTTGGAAATGAAGTACAATTTGCTTCATCGTAAACTCCTTATTGAGTAGAATAAGTGAGAGATTGTTAAATGCTCAATCCTTTTTAATTGATTGGATTACATGAAGTGAAATTTTGACAAACTCTAGTAATTATTTTTATTCACAGCCAATTGCTTATGATAAAAACTTAATTGCTAAAAATTTTTGAACTAAGTTATTGAGTACATATGTTATTATTCCAAACACAAGATTAACTTGCGGTGTTACTACAATCACTCTATGTCATGGATAGAGGGGAGGATTTGATTTCTTAAATTTTTGATAAATTATCAATCCATATCAAAAGATTTTTTTAATAAGCATATTAATAACATTAAAATGTTGGAAAATTGTATATAGGAATCATCTTAAAAGAACAAGAATATCAAATTCCTCCGAATTTTAGGATTATGAAGTCCATCTTGTTGTTTTATTTGTATAAGGATAGCATTTACCTTCAGATAAACTTAACACATCAGTTATTCATGCGAATACATTAATTTATAATTAGCATACCTGAATAGAGTTGTAGGATGATAATTTCATAACAAAAGTATATAGTTTGAACTCTATATAGAGATATAGAGGATACTACAAGTTAAAGTTTAACAATATTACCCTTCCAATAACAAGATTTAGCTCTTACTTTGCATGCATGTAATTCATATTATGAATTGAATGCCACACATTTATTGGTTAAACTATTAAAAATGTAACACAGGATGTATCTTAAGTATTTACTTTCACAGTTATTAAGATTTTCAATATAATCAATCTCGATACCACAAACACAATATAAATTTTGTGATATATATTAAATTTAATTCCTGTAAAAATATAGCATTTGCCATTAAATAAAATACACGAATTGTTTTCCAATTGCAATCTAATTTAGGTAGCTCATTTAGTTTATTAAATTATATTTTAATATTCCAATTATAAGCAAGACCCATTAGTTGAGTAAAATTTTAGATCATAGGAACAATCATGTTTAGGTGGTGTGACGGATTTTTAACATCTGATACAATATCCACTGGTTGTTGATAATGTTATCCAAACTATAAGTATTATGAGTATTGCATGCAAAAGTGTTTTAAGTTAATTATTCTAAAATATCAGAAGCTTAACCGCATGTATTATTACTCCATTCAAATGTAATGATTTCAGATGAGAGTGGATTAGGTAGATAGAAGTTAAAATTTAATTAATTTTTTGAATAATGAACAATTAATTTAAGAGCACATATTTTTAAGATTGTTCCATGATCAAGAAAGTTGATTTCTTTGAAAAAATGTTTCATTTTTGGCTTTAGTGCATTATGAAAATCCAATACATAAAGTATTTTATTCAGTTGTGCTCAAGAAACACACTCCATCAGTACCAATATTAGGATTATGATTACCATTAGTTGTATATAGAACAACACAAATTTTATGTTGGGAAGAAATAATAGTTGCCATAGCTAATTCCTTTACATGAAGCATTCATATTAACATATTCTAATTAATTAGTTGCTATTACTGAAGAACAACTGGGGAATCTTTAACAACATGAACTACCATTCTAATAGCAAGTACTTAATGAAGCACAAGAAACTCTATTTAGTCATTTTTAGCGATTTAATAAGCAATATTATACAAATTTAAATTTCAAAAAAACTATCTTTCTTTCTTTATTGATCAACTAGTTTTAAATTCTAATGACCTAAGTGGAGACATAAGATAAACAATTCCTTATTACTTACCACCATTCCTTGTTTTCCAAAGTTAGTTAGACAATCCTCTTTTTAGCTCAACATATTTATTGAATATTTTTTTGGTATTATTGACTACAAAATGATAAATTGTTCAACAAGAGGAATCATTTGATATATTAATTGATTATTAAGATAATTTACTGGGAACAATCAGCATTTGTTTAAGATATCTAATTATTTGGAACTACATAAATTAGATATATTTTCTGGATATAATTAAATATAACACTACAGACCAAGATTGTATACAAAACATACATTCATTTTTGAAAAAGTATCAAGCAAATCTACTAGTTATTCAATAGATTGGAAGCATATCGTTATATCAGTAATCAATATTATCGTCATGAAGAGACAATAAATATTTGATTATATATTTTATTTTTAAAAAAACTTTTATTTTCGTGGCCAGGCTGTTTGTGTACATACTGTTAGTCAGTATATTCATTCTTTGTAGCAAATCCTTATAACTTAATTCTATTATTAACTTCTTATTAGATTCTAATAAATACTTTCTTTGTAATTTTTCAGCAATTTATTCTAGTATTTCTATGAAATAATCAATTTTTAGATATTGTATTTTAAAGAAGTTGACCAAAATTTTAGAAAGATCTTCAGGTCCTTTTTTTAAATAGATCTACAGTTTTTGAATTATTCATAACTGTTTTTTACATGTATGATTGATAATCAATTTAGTTTAAATGTGCTAATTTTAGAAAATGCATTGAAAATGATGCCATCCATTTCTTTAATAAATGTAAGAAATAATTAATAAAATAAAAGAAGGGATTATTTGTTGTAAAAATTAAAGATTTATTTTAGATAGAAATCTCTTAATGCCATTAATTATATCATATTTAACTATAATAAAATAAGCTACTCAATTTCAGCTTAATAATTGCAGAAGCGTTATTATCATTTAATTTTTTAATTCCAATTTTCTGCAAATAATTATCAATATAATTAGTATAGAATAATAATATATGCACCTTTCTCCAATTTCATATAAACTCACTCCAAATTAAGCGAATTCATAGTTATATTTGACCTTAATATAGTTTTGAACCTTTTAAATTCTATTTGTGATTATAAAATTATTTGAATATTAAGTATATCAATTAGATTAATATCCTAAATATTCTATTTATTATTTGGAATAGCCAAATTCTAGTTTTATTAAATTAATTATTATTGATGAGAAGACACATTTTATTTAGTTAAAATCACTTAAAAGATCCAATTTTGAATTGGAAGAGAATCAAATTATAGTATTTATTTAAATAACAACTTAACATTTTTACAAAAGTTAAATGATATGTAATATTTTTTAATTAACTATATATAATTCTATATATTTTTCCTTTTTAATTGTGTAATTTTTATTTTAATAAAGATAATAAAAATATAAATATTCTGTTTTTCACATCTATAAATTCTAATGTTTTAAGATTAAAGTAAATTGTTATATCAAATTAAAATTGAATAAGAGAATGATATTGAATTGAATCATAATAATTCTATAGAAATATTTTAATTGAATCGAATTAATGAACTTTTACAGGAAAATTAAATTAACATAATATTGGTTTAAAGTACTTCTCAAATTCTTTTTATGCAGTAACAATAGAAATAAACATCTACCATATATTCAATCCTTTATATTATCGAACTTCTTTTCAACAATGCGCTAATTCAATCATTTTATCCAAACATAATTATTATAAGCAGAAAAAGGATCATATTTCTTAAATTTTTTATGCTTTATTATTATATTTTTTTTTGAAAATAAAAATATATGTTAATAAGTTGCCAATAAATTTAAAATAACAAATATTCAAATACGAATTTCAATTCATTTTTTTTTTATTTAATACAATCAATTGCAAGAGATTCTGAATTAAATTTATTTATTGATTTAACAATTATGCTTGTAAATAGTCGAACTCAATATTGGTAAAATGTTTAAGAACCCAATTTTCCAAAAATTTCTGTGTGAATATTGTTCATAATCAAATTCTAAAAAAAGAAATCTTTTCTAAAACAATCCAAATTTATTAAACTGAAGCTTATCAAATTATATTATATATATATATTGCAAATACTTATAAATTTTTTATAAATCTTTTTTTAATAAATAATCCTTCCCAAAGAAGCCAGGACATAAATGGGGTTCAATAATGGAAACTCATAGTAGTTGAGTATGTCCAGGTAATTTTACACTACTAAGAAGCCATCTACTACTTTTTTTAAATATAACGTTTGTCTGAGAGATGGTATTTCAATGCTTAGAGTTTTAGGAACCTTCCTACTCTTGGTTCTGAGATTTTATGTTGAAGACATTTGTAATGGGGAGTATGATTTCAATAAAATTCGTCCCAAAATTTATGTGCAATGGTTTGGAAGATGAATCCTGTCGTTCTAAAACAAACCTTGGCACTGTTTTTAATATCACAGCACCTAATACAAAGTTCAATTATATCCCCTCTAACTTATGTCATAATTTCATAAAAACTTTAATTTAAATTAAATCGTTGATACTGTATTCTAGATGGGTACTATCACATTTTTGATAATCAAAATAACACGATTAATCAGTGAAAAAGAGCTCTTGAATTCTAGAGCTTTTTAGAGATATAATCTGCATATCCAGTTTTAATTTAACTATTCCAGGTTTACAGATCAAACATTTGGAGGGAGTTTAAATGCAAATTTATAAATTAATACTGGAATTTCACATTATTGCACTGAAAAGCACAATTGATATTAAGCATATAATTTTTAGGAAAGTTTGATTATTAATTAAGTGATATATCATCTTTATAAAACCAATTCATTTATTACATATTTGTGGATTAAATCTACTTAAATTTTAGCAAGTCTGACAATTATTCGCTTCAATTTAGTAGGTTTTACAAGTATATTTTTTGCTTTACATTTATATACCAGCATAAAATAATCAACTTTGTAAATATATTAATTAGATAAAAAATTTCAATTAGAATTTAATTATTTATTAATACTTAAAAATTTTTCAAACTAGCTTACAGAAGTTTATAAATTGAGTTGAATTCTAATTATTAATTTTCTAGATTTACTGTAAGATAAATAAATTTCTGATCTAAAGAAAATCCGAAAATACAAGATTTATGAATTATTATTAATTGATCATTTCGTTTTGAATGTCAAACTTAATGAAAGATTCATTAAAAATAGATAGATTAGAATTTATCAATATAATTTATGGCAAAAAAAGATTAAATTCCTTCAAAATCTAATAAAATATAGGAGAATTAGTTGTACTTAGAAATATTTATAAAAATAAAAGATATAAATATAACTAACAATATACTAATATGCATAATCATTCATTTAGCATTTCAAAATATCGTGTAAAATTCTTTACATGAACATATGTTATATTTAATCTCCATTGTTGCATAAAAAAAAGTATGAAATAGTAAATAATTATTACTTTCTATATTAATAAAATTTGGTCATTTGTTAGGAATTATGTTAATAGATTTTTTTTTCGCACTTAAACTGATTTAAATAAAAAAGTACTTTTTACAAGATAGCTAATTTATGCCAATTGAGCATTAGAAGACATATAACATAATATAAGTTAACAAACTATTAGATAAAACAAATAGAAAATTTTTGAATTCAAATCATCAAATTTTTTTTAAATATATTATAAATGTAATTACTAAATATAAATTTAAAATGTTAATTTTTGAATAATTGGCTTTGTAAAAATTGACGAGAAAAAATTGATTTTATATTATGCGAGATTATTTTCAAATGACATTAAGAAAATAGTTATGGGCCATAAATGAGAATAAATTGATTGGAGTATGTTAAAATATTAAAAAAATGATAAATATAATTAGGGTACCTTACTTTTTATTCATTATAGAAAAAAAAGAGAGAATGCATTTTGGCATTAGAATTAGTAGCTTAAGTGTTAACATTATAATCAACTATGGAATAGCTATTCATCATTAGTCCAAAAGCTAATTCAGTTTGAAATATCTTCAATTATAAGTTTGTTTTAAATTGATCTGAATTGGCATAAAATTTTAAATGTTGTGATTGACTAAATCAGTGCTAGTAATTAATTTACTTTTCTATTTAAACAATACATTTTAAATTCTATATATTTAGTATTGCTTCAAATTCATAGTTTTCAATTGCATGAATTCTTCTGATAATTCTATTTAAATTAACTTAAAATTCAAAAAGTATGAAATTAAAATGATTGATTCAGTTTAAGTTGGTTATTTTTTCTTCCTTGAGTTATTCAGTTTCATTTCTGCATTCTTAAATCTTAATCGAAAGAGAATAAAAATTACATAATTCACATCTTATTTGATATTAAAAAAAATCCAAACAATTCTATTTGTTTATTCCACATTAAATACTATATATAACTGTGATTGCTAAATTTTAATCTTTGAAAAAGAGCACTTAAGATGGAGATTTAATAATTTGAATCCAATTTTTAATTTATAATCAATCCTCTAAGTATCATTATTTTGCTGTAGACTGTTCTTAATATAAAATTTTGTGATCTCCTTTTTAAATTTTTTGTAATAATTGGCAGTTGGCTCTAAAGTGTTAATCTTGAGCATGATGGCCTTAAATATAAAAATGCCTTTTAATATTTTTTAAAGAATCGCTATTTCTGAAAATCGTTACATTGATTTCAATTATTTATTATTTGTAATATGTTTATAATATAGACAAAAAACGTAAAATAGAATTATGATGGAATGTACAATATTAAAAGTAAAAAATACAAAATGAATCCATCAGGGTTTGAGGAATGGAAAACCAAAATGATATTTTTTTTAAATTTATAATTATGATTCATTTTGAATAAGTTAAGACCATTTTTTTTCTATAATTTACAAACCAAAAATATGAAAAAAATACTTTGATTCTTAAAAAATTAATCATTTAAGTTATGGAAATCACAATTATAAAAGAATAATCCATGTCTTATTTAGTATATTAAATTTATATTAATTATTCTATCAAAC